TCTCTAAATTTGATGCTATAAAAATAAAACGTAAAACTTGACAATAAAGCACAAATTCGATGCTGTGAGAACAAAATGCGAAACGCGACAGAAAAAATCTTTGTCTCTTATAGCTACGTAAATTTGATGCTAACGAAAAATAAAACGTAATACTCTTTCTAAAGTGCCCGATAAGAGAACTATGTATCTCTAGGAGCAAGGCAATGTTCACCATGTTCAAAGGAATCAGGTTACTGTTGAAAGTTACAGCCGTGGATCGAGATCCATTTAAACCAAAGAAACGATATGACCACGCGAATAACCATACAGTCACGTTCCCAAACGTACCCTTCCTCCGGGGGCCTTCGCCAAATCTTCCCACAGTCTCAAGCCGGAACAAGCCGGGGTTTCGGGTAACGAAATGAAAAAAAGAAAAAAAACGCCGCGCCATTACACACTCTCGACAGGGCATTTTCTCGAAAAAGACACGAGCTCGTGCTGGTGGAGCACGCGCGGGGCCGGAGCGGATGAGGGCGGAAACACGTGGGCGATCGAGCATGCGTATAATGGTTACATCGCGGTGTGTTCCCCCGGCGCTCTCGAGCGGCCCGCTAAACTGCGATGTTTATGCAGTCCGGTGTAACGATGCACGCCGATATAATGCACCCACATCGCCGCCGGGACGACGCACGCCACTTGTCCGTTTCGCCCGCCAACGGAGCGATTCGCAAGCGGATAGCAGCCGGGTCTCGATCCAGCCGATTTTCTTGCAAATTGTCTCCGGTTTAAAGTCTCCGGCGAACTTTCGCTGAAAACACGAAGCGAAGCTGCGTCATATCGATTAGAGACACCTGGATAAACGTGAGTAAACTCGGTCCAAGATTTACGTACATCTGGTGACGTTGCTGTTTTTTTTTTTTTTTTTTTTGTGAAGATGGCCACTGAAGGGTTTGAAAGAACCCTTATTTGTGAGCAGAAAAGTGGTGGACATTTGAGGAATGTTATTTTTCACACATAATATTAGAAAAAGATTCATTAATTATATTTCAAAATAAAATAATAAAAAATTTAAAAAACATGTATTTTTTGGGAAGATGCAGAGTGGTCACTAAACATAACTGAAGGAAGTATTTGTGAATAGGAAAATGGTGGACATTTGAGGAATGTTATTTTTCACACATAATATTAGAAAAAGATTCATTAATTATATTTCAAAATAAAATAATAAAAAACTTAAAAAACATGTGTTTTTTGGGAAGATGCAGAGTGGTCACTAAACATAACTGAAAAAAGTATTTGTGAATAGAAAAATGGTCATTTGAGGGATGTTGTTTTTCGCACAAAATACTGAAAAGAATTTATTAATTATATTTCCAAATAAAATAATAAAAAACTTAAAAAACATGTGTTTTTTGGGAAGATGCAAGGTGGCCACTAAAACTGAGGGAAGTATTTGTGAACAGGAAAATTTGAGGGATGTTGTTTTTCACACATAATACTGAAAAAAATCCATTAATTATATTTCTAAATAAAATCATAAAAAATTTGAAAAACATATTTTTGTTTTATATCGTTCAGTCTTTGTGTTCTAGTGACTACCCTGTATTTGTAGAATGCAGTTTTACGAGATTTTAATTGTTAATATTATTGTAGATGAATAGAGAAATATCCTTGTATTTTACACTTGATGAAATTGAACATTATCCTGTTTTTTTATACCGATTTTATAATATGATAGAGCAATATCTGAGATACGAGGAAATAGCTGTCAATAACTGTCTAAATATCAAATAAAACGTCCTGCAGTGGTTGAATCCTAGTTCCACCAATCGGCATGGATTGCATCTTAATATACGTTAATTCTAGTCCAAATATTTTACAACCAATCCGTGAGATCATGCGAGATATAAATTAAACGAAAATTTGGTGGATAAATCAGCGTGCTCAATAATACGTTTCAATAATACACTTGGCGAAGGAGAACTGTGAAGACAAACAGAAGCGAACGGTAGCGTCGGCGGCGTTCATCGAATTAACGTGCCTCCCTAAAAAACAAGTTCCGAGAGTTCATTGGAAGTGCTGAACGGGGCCGCTGCCATAAAATTCAATTTATTCCCCCTTGTTTGTTCTCACCGTTGGGGGAGATCGTCGTCGATAACAGATTCCTCCTGGCGTAGGCCATGATTCCATAACAATATGGAAGAGGACTTGGAACCGTTAGCTCGCTTGTCCCCTCGGCTCCTTCGACCGCTTCTTCCCGTTTCCGGAACCCGCTCAGCGCGTTAAAAGCTTCTGGGAACGCGGAAACCCGCGTGGTGTTACGTAACTCGGCAACAAGCATCGCCGCCATATATATTACGTTCAATCTTAACGTTATGAATCTAGTCAGCGGCGCTTGTTCGAGTCGGTCGAGCTTCGTCGTCGTTTTGATAACTTTGAATACTTGTCTTCAACCTGGCAGAGTAATCGAACGTTATATAGGGTGATTACTGAAACAACTTTTACAAACACGTTTTCTAAAATTTTTTTATTTGGAAATATAATTGAAAATATAATTGAAAAATAACATCCCTCAAATGATTTTCTTGCGAAGAAAAGCTCAATTGAAGATGAACGAGTTATGACTTTTCAAACCTTTCAGTTTTTCAGTTGTCACCCTATATATATATATATATATATATATATATATATATATATTATTGTAGTATAAATAATTTCTGAAACAAAAATAACGCTAAATTATAATAATTATTGAATTAAAAACAATCAATTATAATAAATATTGAATTAAAATTAAATAATAATTACTATTTGGAATATTAATATTAGTCAAACTTATTTCTTTTTTCTGAGTAATTAATTAGTAGTTAAATACTAGTAGCGTATGTATATATATATATATATATACTACTAGTTTTTAATATGATTAATTTCTGAAACAAATCGTAACGCTAAATTATAATAAATATTGAATTATAATTAAATAATAATTACTATTTGGAATATTAATATTAGCAAAACTTGTTTCTTTCTTCTGAGTAATTATATTTTCATACTGTCAACAACGACATTATTTTACTGTTAATTAAAGAAACGAGACAATTTAAAGTAACACACATTGCACGACGCAACTAAAAAGATAACACGACACTCATAATAAACAGTATTCATATATAATAGAATACAGAATCAAAAGAGCAACGTGATATCTTCCTGCCGAGGATCGAACTACGAGGATCAATGAATAAAATTTTCATAATTGATCAACAACTCTGCTGAATATCTGTATGGCGGCAATTCGAAAATCATATTTTTCCTCCACGGGATCCGATGTCAAATTATTCATGATCAAATTCGACTTGAGATTGAGCGAGGCAAATTATCCTCGGTTGATTCAACTAACCTTACCTTGTCTCGTGATATTATTATTACGACGTTGTTACGACGCTATGCGCGAATAATTCAATGAATTTCATAGGAGATTCGAGCAGAAACCGTTTCATTGTGCATCGACGTACATGCACAGCGGCAACAACGTAAACTTAATTATCGACTATCTGTTGGAATTAATCTGGTTCGCCTCGGCTCTCTCGCAACTACCAGGTATAATAATAATAATCCCCTGGCATTCGTCCATTTATCACGGGGGCCACAATAAAGGAGATAAGAACGCGCGGCATTGTGCTGCTGTGCGTCCGTGATAAGTGCTGAATATTAACAATGCAACTATCTCGACCTTTGCCAACCATTATACCGTTCATTAGCGATAATGGGGATTGTATATTCAATTATCAATTGTTTTCTGAAAATTAATTTCGTGTTCCTCGACTAGGCCTACGTCCGAAACAATTCAAGCGAACAAGGAAACTGCTGTTATCCACCGAACTCGTTCCTTACGTCGGTTTCTTTTTTCAACGGGGATGATTTAACGAGACGAGGTTCACGCGCTCTTGTGTACAGTTTCAACAGTATCACACGAGCCGCGAAAATGTTCATTGTCCCACGATATTAGGGTGTACGTTTGTTTATTTAATAAAAGTAATATCTGTATCCTTTTTATTAAATACAAATATTACTTTTGTTTATCTAATTAATACATTAATATTTGTATTTCTTTTATTGAGTACAGATATATTACTTTTGTTTATTTAATAAAATAAAATATTTGTATTTTTTATTCATCTAATAAAAAAAGTCGCTTTCTTTTTGAACTCGTCGGTATGATATCACTGGATTATAGAAATTACTAAGAAGTAATAAATTTATTATTTATTTTGCCTGGGTTATACTTAAATATACCTAATGAGGACTGAGTCATTCCAAGAGGTTAATATATTAATATTTCTATATAATATAATCTATGTATATTCTATGTATATAATATAATCTATATATTCTATATAATATAATCTATATATATTCTATATAAAATAATCTCTCATGTCTCATGTCTTAACCACTTGCGCAGGCAACTGATTGCGGACCATAACGTATACAACACCGTATACAATAATTCGTCGCTTTCTCTTCGAACTCGTTGGTATGATATCACCGAATAGAAATTATTGAGAAGTAATAAATTTATTATTTGTTCTGCCTGGGTTACATTTAAATATACTTAGAACTGAAAAAAAAAATATTGCAATTTTGGAACAAAAAATTCTCGACGTGGTGTCATCCCAGCGCAAGAGGTTAACATCCAGTATTACTTTAGGCTAATACTTTAATTTTTTATAACAAATCGCCCTGATCGCTATAGTGAAACAAGCTTGCTTTCCTTCGCTATAACTTCAAAAATACGTTTTTCTCTTGCTGATCAGTATTTTCTTTGGACCAATCTCCTTCTATCACCGTGACACACGCAACGTTCCCCGTTGTTTTCGTCAACGTTGCATCACCTGTGTTTCCACCACCTGTCCTCATTCTATCACATCTCGACCCCCGAAATTTATTCGTGGCCAGATAGGAACACGCGTGTCGCGCGTCGGAACCAGACTGGTGAAAGGATCGCTGTGTTGCAGGGTCGCGGAGACGTCGCCTCGCTGGTCCGGAACTTGCTCGGCCCGATTTACGGCGACGGCGTTATCAATCTGCTGATAAGGCAGGCCCGGGACATCCTCGTGTGCGCTTATCACGGCAACTTGGAGAACTTCCTCAAGACTTATCTGTCACCGGCCGCGTCTCTGCTGGCGGAAGTGAAGTCCGCCGCCTCCGAAACGGTGAGTTTCCATTTCATCTTTCCTCTTCCCCCCCCCCCCCCTCGCCCGTTATTTATTTTCTAAGCCAAGACTGCCTAAGAGTTCGCCTAAGAGAGCTCTCGCTCCCGTGAAAACTGGCTCGTCCACGGAAACAGGCAGGAAAGGCGAAAAACGGGGAATCCGGCTCCGCGTTTGACGGATTGTTCCGCGAAACCGATTAAAGTAATCAGTCTCGTGATACGTCGCTCATACGCCGAGTATGGACGCGACCGGATCCAGTTGGCTGCCAATTGCGAAATCCGACTGACCGCCCGGATGACACGGCCTTCTATTTATATAACCGGTGACCCGATTTAATCTCGGCATCTCGATGAAAGCATCGAGAGATTCGTCTTTTTTGCACGGCGGTGGTTTTTCTCCTGCTCGGTGCTCGGCAGACACGTGGAGAGTTCTCCGCTAGTCCGAGGTATCGTTCGCGTTCTAGACGTTGCTTTCTTTCGCGGCAAGGTTCGTGCACGCGCGATAGGAAGCAAATAGGGAAACTTGTCGCGATATTAAGACCGGTATTAATCGCAATTCGTTCGTTTATACGAGCGTGACGCGGTCGTTTTTGTCACAGAGTGAAAACAACCGATTCGCGATCGTATATTTCCTCCTCTGGTCTTTCAGAATTATTTGTCAGTTTCCTGATATTACATATAATATCTGGTACATGTATATATATATTTATTTATTTATTTATTTATATGATATTTATATATATACATTTTTATTTATATTTATATTTATTTACTTATATGATATTTATATATATTTATATTTATTTATATGATATTTATACATATATTTTTATTTATATTTATATTTATTTCTTTATATATATTTACATTTATATTTATTTATTTATATATATTTATATTTATATTTATTTATTTGCGATATTTATATTTATATTTATTTATTTGTGATATCTATATATATTTATATTTATTTATTTATGATATTTATATATGTTTATATTTATTCATTTATATGATATTTATATATATATTTATATTTATTTATTATATGATATTTATGTATATATTTTTTTATTCTTATAATAAATATACCTGGTACATATATATATATATTTCTACTCTTTTCAGAATTATTTGTCAGTTTCTTGTATAATATTCGTAATATTAGCATCGCGAATTAATTATAATTCATTTGTTTGTACGAAGTAACATTTTTTAATAACAGAGTGAAAATAACCGATCCGTGATATATATTTCTTTCTGTCATCTTTCAAAATTTTTCATTTGTTGTTCGTTGAGTTTTCCTGTTCTCCTTTTATAGAACTCTCACTGTTCTATTATGCTAGCTCTATGCTGCAATCTTCATAGTGTAATGTTTTAATGTCGAACGCGCAAAAAGGCGCTTCAGACGTTTAAACTTTCCAAACTGTTCCAAAATAATAAACTTGAAACGACAGGATAGAGATCAACGTAGAGGATATGTAAAGAATTAAACTCACTTGCCGGTCAAGTCGAAAAAACTTCGAATCTGATCCAATATATATATAATTATACTTAACCTACCGAAGTTTGTCTCCAATAACATTGTTCTCAATATTCAATTCGACGTGCAATCCAATGCAACAGCAAGTTAATCGAATCGCGGCCGATCATTTCTTACCACGCGAGACGTTCCGAAAGACTCGACGCCTAATTCAATTAAAGAAGGAAGAGTCGTCAGGGAGAAGAAAGGCCAACCCTTGCCTTGGTCGATCGTCGCTAATAACCCCGGTAGTTGCGGATAACCCTGTTCGTCTCTCGAATCCCGAGCGGCGAGGGTTGTCAGCGCGTCGAAGCACGTGCCATCTCGGAGTTAATTTATTTAGCGCGGGGGGAGGCCACGCCAGTCGCACGAGGTGTCTCGAGTGTCTGTTCGCAAAAGCGATCTCCCCGTACACTCTCCTCTGCTATGCGATTCGTAAACGTTAATTAAAACTCGCTGCGGCGAAGAGGGACAGCTCGAGGGTTGGGGTTGACCTAGGAGTTCGGGCACGTGACAGAATAACCTAATCTCGTGACACCAAACCACTTCCATTTGACGCAGAGGAAGGGGGCACGTACTGATCCAGCGGAACAACCATTTCGGAGGTTCACCGCTGTTCAAAATCACGGTTGCGTGATTGACTCAGTTGATTTTAATTATATATATATATAATTAGAGGGATAAATATGATGAGAGATAATTAAAATTATTAAAATAAATTAATTAACTCTGATACAAAAGGTACAAAATAAATATTACTTATTTGCTTTTAGAAAAATTCATTTTCATTGCTTTAAACTATTAATAATATTGTTAATTTTTAATTATTACTAAAATATATTTTTATTATAAAACTTTATTTAATTATGTTAATTTAAAATGATATATATATATATATAATTTTAAATTAATATAATAAAATATATATAAAATATGTATAATATTAAAATATTTTATTATATTAATTTAAAATTATATATATAATTAAATAAAATTTTATATTAAAAATATATTTTAGTAATAATTAAAAATTAACAATATTAAAATAGTTTAAAGTAATGAAAATGAATTTTTTTTAAAAACAAATAAGTAAAATTTACTTTGTACCTTTTCTATCAGGGTTAATTAATTTATTTCAATAATTTTAATTATCTCTCATCATATTTATCCCTCTAATTATATATATAATTAGAGAGATCAGGATTAGAGTTTTGTGACGCTTCGATAAAATTGAACCGTGTTGCGATTGAAAGAACTGTGTTGACTGTATTCGAAATAAATTCTGAAAACTAAAGGAAAAATCCGTTTATAATGCTGAGAGGTTAATTAATTTATGATTACAAGTTCAAAATTTGCGTTGGTTCTCTAAATTCATGTACAGTGATTTGATCCTTCTTCTGAGATCCGACAAACTTTTTCGCTCAGTCGGATTTTCAATGCAAATTTACATTTTTGAAGAAGTAGAACCGTAGAAAATTTATGTGCTGATTATTATACAGATTACATATATTTTTAGTAATTGCGTATCTTAAAATTTTCCTGAATGTACAAAGATCCACAGTCTATTCCTTCCTAAATATATATATATATATATATTCTTTTTCCTATGCATCCTCAAGATACAAAATACCTTAACAAATCCAAAACACAATCACACGAAGCGTCAAATGCTAGGTCAGACAATTCTGGAACAAAAAATTCGTTGAAAAAAAAAAAAAAAAAAAAAAACGATCTATCCGGTGAAACAGCGTTTAGAAAGAAACAGAGTCCTAAATCGAGTTCTTCCCGCCTCCTCCTCCCCGAAGAAGCTGGAGCTGGAGGAAATTCCGTAAAATTAACGCTCGTTACGTTGGGGAACGGGCACGAGGGAAATCTCGGCACAATGGAAGGCACGGCGAGCGGCTCTCTCGATAAATTCTCGACCGGAGAAGACCAATAAAGAAAACGACGCGCTGGCTCACGACAATTTGGCAGATATGGGGCAGCGATGTCCACGGTGGAAAGCGGGGCGACGCGAGCGTAGAGCGCTGCTCGCTCGTTAGCGCAGAATTTCTGGAAAGTAGGTAGGCAGAGAGGCTAACCGGCCCGTTCTACCTAATATAGCTCGCGAGTCGCGGCTTTTGTCCGTGCGCGATCACATCCGGTACTATCGATCTGCAGATTTGTCCGCTCCTTCACGTCACGATTCGGCACTTGTCCTCGCCATTTCCGTTACTCGCTGTTGTCAGGCTGTGGATCCTCGTGTAATTTCGAGTGTTTACGAACGCAGCCTATGTAAACATTTATTTTTTAAAAATAATATTACAACACTACAAGCTTACACTTTTGCACATTGTACGCGTTACTTTGGTATTCTCGTATCATCCTGAATTTTTCTACAAATACGAACATAGCAGTCTAGTTATGAGTATTCTTCTAAACTGTGATCTGTTTTCGCATCGGAGTTCAGGAATGGGGCAGTAATTCTGTAAATTAAAAAATCGCGAAGTTCTGCAAACTTTGTGAAGGGCGAATGCATTCCTTGCATTTTTTTTTTTTTTGAATCCTGAATTTTTGCCATAAATGTATAAGAATTCGCAGTCTACTAATTGCAGGTGACAGACTGACTGCTAAGCCGTGGTCTCTTTTCGTATCAGAATTTAGAAATTGTAAAATTTTATAAATCGAAGCAGTTACTTTATAAATTAGAAAATCGTAAAATTTTCCAGAGCAAATGCATTTTTTTGCATTTTTGTGAATTTTCCCATAAACGTATAAAAGTTCGCAGTTTGGTTATCAGACTGCCTTTTAAGCTGTGGCCTTTAAAGTTTTATGAATCGAAGCAATCGAAAAGTCGTGAAATTTCGCAAGTTTTGCAAAGCGCAGAGAAGCCACAAGCAAGGGACGCGACAATTTTTAAATCGTAAGTTATTTAAATAATATTGAACCGTCTCGAGGAGCCCTAACAGATGGCGTTTGAAGAATTGTCTCAGAAAAATTCTGCTCGAACGTGTCGATCGGATCGAGAGATCACGCCGACATTTTTAAATAACTCTCGACTTACAATATTTCGTAAAAATATATCATGTACTGTAATTGTCAATGAAAGGACATTTGAAAGAAGAATAAGAACAAATTGTTCGACGAGAATCCAGATTTTTAAAATGTCTAACTTTATTTATTTAAATTATTATTTCATTTTGTTAATATATTCGAGATCGGTGGACATTTAGAAATCAAAATGAGAAAGTTTGAGCGTGATTTTTTTTTGTAAAATGTCGCACCTTAAAAAAAGAAAAAAAAAGAATGGACGGCTGAAAGGCGGTGTATCAGCGCCAATTTGCCAGCGTCGTTTCGATCAATAACTTCCTGCACGATGTGTATACCGGGACGAAACAGGAATTATCCGTCGTTAAACGACGGAGCGGTCTCGCGGAGCGAGTGGTTGTCGAATGTTGCGCCGAGTGAATTACCTACCGGGCAAGTAATTCGATAGAGCT